AATTATCACATCTAGATTGATTCCTATTGTAAAGCCAGTTTCAGGCTCTCAGAATGAAGCTGAAAGATCATGGCAGGTGATTCTAAAGTATACTCTTGAAGAAGTCCTGATGAACAGGGCAGGTACATCCAGAATACAGTTGGCCGGAAAAGCACAAGTGGTCTTAGTTCAGAGAATGAGCTGCCAGTTACGTCCAGGTACTTGCATATGGAATGATTAGAATGCATTGTTGAAGCATTGCCTTCCTTGGAGATTTAAAAAGATCTTTAACCTTATCCTAAAATGGAAGCTGTTGGGCACAAGTGGGAACAAAAAAGCCTCTGGCTTTCAAATTAATAAGTGGTTTTAAGTTGCAATGACTATCTTTATACATTTCATAAATCCCGTGTAAGCACTACTTATTTCCCTCATGGGCTGCTCATTTTGCCTCCCATTTACTCAGTATGAGTTTTCGTTTTACGTGAAAATTTTAGTAGAATTTGAAGTCAGGTGTATCTAAGGTTTTTATCGTTGGGACGTGGTCAAATCATTCTCCCAGATCATATGAACCAAAATAGACAATCTCATTTTAAAAACTGTACTTCTGAACTTAGCCTCTGTCTGAGAACTAAAGGGGGACAAACCTACGGATGGCAGCGAGGGGTCAATTCACCACAGGCGTTGGGTCAGGGGTGGAGGAGTCGGAAGTGATTGGGATTTGGGGGAGGAGATTCGCTTACACACAGGAGCAGAGCATTGAGCGGCCATATCTGCCGCCGCCGCCGCCGCAGCCGCAGCAGCAGCAGCTGTGAATGCAGCATATGCGCTTAGCTGCCTCCGCGCCGCTAAGGTTCGCATCGTTATCTGGTGGCCCTTGGCTGTTCCGCTTTTCCACCATCGGTGGAACCACCTCGTTCTGACCTGCTTACCCCCTCCTTCTCCGCCGCACCCCGGCTGCTGAGACCATGGATCTCGGCAGTAGCAGCGACTCAACTCCTGACTGCTGGGATCAGGTGGACATGGAAGCCCCGAGTTCGGCTCCAAGTGGGGATGGATTCGCCTCTGCGGCCACGGCCGAGGCTGAGGCAGCGGAAGCGGAGGCCCAGCGCCAGCATCTCAGCATGGCCTTCAGCAGTCAGCTCAACATCAACGCCAAACCTTTCGTGCCTAGCGTAAGCGCTGCGGAGTTCGTGCAGTCCTTCCTGCCAGCATCGGCCCAGCCGCCCGCCCCCACAGCCTCCAGCAGCGACGAAACCTGCAGTGGCGCCGGAGACCCTCAAGGTAAAAGGCTGGGATGGGGAGCACCTGTGGAACCTTTCAAAGATGGACCTTTAGTGTCGTGGGAAGGTTCAGCTGTTACCATGGAACTTTCAGAACCTGTTGTAGAAAATGGAGAGGTGGAGATGGCCCTGGAAGAATCGTGGGAGCTTAAAGAAGTAAGTGAAGCAAAGCTTGGGGGTTCATTGGGAGATTCAGGGCCCCCAGAAGAAAGTGGCCAGGAAATGATGGAGGAGAAAGATGAAATAAGGAAATCCAAATCTGTGGTCATACCATCAGGTGCTCCTAAGAAAGAACACGTAAATGTGGTGTTCATAGGGCATGTAGATGCTGGCAAGTCAACCATTGGAGGACAAATAATGTTTTTGACTGGAATGGTTGACAGGAGGACACTTGAGAAATACGAAAGAGAAGCTAAGGAGAAGAATCGAGAGACTTGGTATTTGTCCTGGGCTTTAGATACAAACCAAGAGGAACGAGACAAGGGGAAAACAGTGGAGGTGGGTCGTGCCTATTTTGAAACAGAAAAGAAACATTTCACAATTTTAGATGCCCCCGGCCACAAGAGTTTTGTCCCGAATATGATTGGTGGTGCTTCTCAAGCTGATTTGGCTGTGCTGGTCATCTCTGCCAGGAAAGGAGAATTTGAAACTGGCTTTGAAAAAGGTGGACAGACAAGAGAACATGCGATGTTGGCCAAAACAGCAGGGGTAAAATACTTAATAGTGCTGATTAATAAAATGGACGACCCTACGGTAGATTGGAGCAGGGAGAGATACGAAGAGTGCAAAGAAAAACTGGTGCCCTTCTTGAAAAAAGTTGGCTTCAGTCCAAAAAAGGACATCCACTTTATGCCCTGCTCGGGGCTGACGGGAGCAAATATTAAAGAGCAGTCGGATCTCTGCCCTTGGTACACTGGATTACCATTTATTCCATATTTGGATAGTTTGCCCAGCTTCAACAGATCAGTTGATGGACCAATTCGGTTGCCAATCGTGGATAAGTACAAGGATATGGGTACTGTGGTCCTGGGCAAGCTGGAATCGGGCTCCATTTTTAAAGGCCAGCAGCTTGTGATGATGCCCAACAAACACAGTGTGGAAGTTCTGGGAATAGTCTCTGATGACGCTGAAACGGACCTTGTAGCCCCGGGGGAAAACCTCAAAATCAGACTGAAAGGAATCGAAGAAGAAGAGATTCTTCCAGGCTTCATACTGTGTGAACCCAGTAATCTTTGCCACTCTGGACGCACATTTGACGTCCAGATTGTGATTATTGAGCACAAATCTATCATCTGCCCGGGTTATAATGCGGTGCTTCACATTCATACTTGTATTGAGGAAGTTGAGATAACAGCCTTAATTTCCTTGGTAGACAAGAAATCAGGAGAAAAGAGTAAGACCCGGCCCCGCTTTGTGAAACAAGATCAAGTGTGTATTGCCCGATTAAGGACAGCAGGGACTATCTGCCTGGAGACATTTAAAGATTTTCCTCAGATGGGTCGTTTTACTTTAAGAGATGAGGGTAAGACAATCGCAATTGGCAAAGTTCTGAAATTGGTCCCAGAGAAGGACTAAGCTATTTCATTGATGCCTCTGCACCATAGTGTCTGAAATATTGACTGCAGTTTACTGCCCATTGACAGACATTTGTTCACATTTTGCAGAGAAATTTCATAGCAAAAGTCCATGTTTTGTCATCTTTTTCACGTTGAGATCTCAGTTATGTCACTCTTGAATGCATACTCCAGTTTCTTCCCTCTACACCACTCTGCTTCCTTGGACAGATCAGTAATAGCTTTGTAAGTGATGTGTATGTAATTGCCTACAATGCTAAAAATAATATATTTAAAAATTTTAATTTCCCTTTGAGATATCTAGACATCTTTTGTTCTGTGCAGAACAATCAGTGTGTATATGTTAATGAAGACAAGTAACACGTAAATAAAGTGTTCCATTTGAAACTTCAGTATTTGAGATGTGTTTGAATGATGCTTGAATTTATATACAATACTATCTCATTAGGTTATTACTTGGGCTTAAAAAGTATCTCCCCCGTTTGAAATGAGGAACTGGTCAAAACCGCGCAGGTGTGTACCAAAGGAAAACTTTACTATGGAAAAGACACTCTATCTTAGTGCCTTCCCAGTTAACTGTGTTTTCTGTGTCTAAGTTCAGTTAGTAAAGGAGTTCTTCAACTTATCCAGTTATTATTTGAAAATGAAGATTATCTCTTTTTTTTTCTTCCATTAGGTCCCATAATGTTGAGCACGGGCAAATCACATGTGTTCCTAAGATTTCAGACTATATACATGTTGAATAGACTCTTATATACTCCATCATCTTTAACATGCTTTGGTACCATTCACTGTGAAATTTGGGGTGCAAGACACAATAATGGGCACAGTTACTGAAAAGGTAAATTGTTGAAAGAGGACTGTATGTCATTTACTAAAACAAAGGACTGCCCATGGGAAGTGAGCCTTCCTCGTGGTTTTCCAAACAAATTCTTGAGAACACCAACTGTGGATTCTAAGGTAGTTAGATTCATTGTCAGAAGAATGACTTTATGACCCTCAGAACTGTCAACAGCTTGGAGAATTTTCTGTCTTGGTAAGTAGGTTTAGTGTAAACATCTTCCCAGTGGTGTGCAGAACCAGTATTTTTTAGGTACAGCTCTATACTTGGAGTAAGAAACTTCTTTACTAACTCTCATGGGCAGGCTGGTAGATGAAGACACTGCGGCCGCAACACCCTGGGCCTATGCTCTGGTAATGGCAGTGTCTTCTCCATGGTCTCTTTCTTTGTGTAAAGGCATGCCTCCTTATCCATGACCTTTTTCTCTGTGCCCATGAAACTTCTATCTCATTGTATTATCCACAGCATGACTCCATTATTCATCAGCCACCACAGGTCATCAGAGCATCCAATTAAGAAGAAAATTTTAGCTTGCCATGCATCAGCTAACCTAATCCATAGGGAACGTCATATGGTGATGGGCACAGTCATTTAATCACGAGTGTCGGTGCCAGGAGTTTTGTTTCATCTTTTGTCGTAAGAGTGCCTCCTTTTGGTTGTGTGCTAAAATTGGTACAGTAACCAGTCACTGTATCGAAGACGTCCCCCTAGCCACGTTAGCCCTACTGTGTAACCTAGGCTGGCCTTGAACTTGTGGTGATTATCCTGCTTCAGTATCTTTAGCGTTGAAGTTATAGATGTAAGTCACCACATCTAGTTCTTGGCAGTCCTTTAAAAATTTTTAATGCTATATTAATATCATAGTAATTTAAGTCATTTATCAATAGCTATATATATGTGTGTGTGTATTATAGTCATAGTCACACATGCAAATGTCTCTCTCTCTCTCTCTCTCTCTCTCTCTCTCTCTCTCTCTCTCTCTCTACCAATTGGCCAGAAGAAAAGTCAGAAAAGAACTGTTTCCACCTGATTTGCATAATTTTTCAAAAACTGGTTCCTAAATGTTTGTGTATGTGAGAGACACACATATAACTTTCAGAGAAAATGTCATAATCTTTATGTCTATTTTAGAAATTATTTCTTTGCAATCCAGTGAAAATCATATCATTAAGGATGTTGGGGATACCAGAGACTAGCTCCATTTTGTTGTTGTTGTTGTTTGTTTTGTTTTTCGAGACAGGGTTTCTCTGTATTGTTTTGGAGGCTGTCCTGGAACTTGCTCTGTAGACCAGGCTGGCCTCGAACTCACAGAGATCTGCCTGCCTCTGCCTTCTGAGTTCTGGGATTAAAGGTGTGCGCCACTACTGCCTGACTGAGTCTAGCTCTTTTAAGATAGTAGATATGAGCCCAGCGTTGTGGCACTGGCTTGCAATATAAGTTCTTGGAAAGGTGAGGCAAGAAGATAATGTGTTCAAAGCCAGCCTTGGCTACACAGTGAATTTGAGAACAACCTGAGCTCCACAGTGACAACCTGTCACAGAGAAGCACTGGTAGATAAAAAACATACAATAACATTTCTTTCTAATTTCTAGGTACTTTTCCTTTAAAGTTGTTAGCATCTAATAGTTTTCAATATTTCAAATTAGGGTCATTTGCCAGTACAGCATTAGTTTGCCCAGAGCACTGAACTACTTGTAAAGCTATAATCAGGGGAGTGCCCCTTTACAGAATTGTTGCAATCGTTAATGCATATTAAATTAACTTTTGGATGGTTTAAATAAGAATGTCCCTCATAGGCTCGTGTATTTGAACACTTGCTTCTCAGTTGGTGGTGCTGTTTGGGGAGGTTTAGGATGTCTTGCTGGAAGTAGTATGCCACTAGGGGTGGGCTTTGAGTGTTTGCAGTCTCTCCCCACCTCCAGTTGCTCTCTCTGCTTCCTGCTTGCAGTTGAGGATGTGCGCTCTCAGCTTCCTGCTCCAGCTGCCATGCCTGCTGCTTGCTGCCATGCTTCCCTGCCATGATGATCGTTTATCTCTCTGGATCCGTGAGCCTAAATAAACCCTTCATTCTGTAAGTTGCTTCTGGTCATGGCGTTTTATCACAGCAACAGAAAAGTAACTTGGTGACAGAAGTTGGAAACTAGAGAGTAAGCTATTGGTATCCATGTTTTTTGTTTGTTTTTGGAGAAGTATGGAAGATTGAAACTTTGGATTGGAAAAGTGGTTGGATGCCGTAAACAGATATTAGTAGGAGCTTTGAAGACTGTACTGCTGAGAGTAATGGCTCACAAGGTTTCAGAAGGATACAATATTAGCAATTGGACTATAGCCCATTTCGGTGCTGTCTTGGCAAAGAAACTAGCTGCCTTCTGCCCTTTTCCTAAGAACTCGCCCGAGGCTAAATTTTAAGAAGTGGACTAGGAGTTCTATCCAGGAAACTGTTGCATGTGCTTTGACATTTACACCCTCCCTCACGTGTTTTCCTCTGGTAGTTTCAGGTCTTCCATTAAGGTATTGGATCCATTTGTGTTGATTCTGGTACAGAGAGAAGGCTTCATGTTTCATCCTACTACATGTGAGTTGACACCATGTTTTCTGACATCATTTTAAGGATAAGTTGATTATAAATGCACACAGTCATGTGTCTATTTTATTTAACTTCTGTGTGTTTTCATATGTCAATGCCATGTTTCATAGTTATTTCCATTTTGAATATGCAATGCTTCCAAACTTGGTTCTTTTTTTTTTCAAGTTTGTTATTCTGGGACATTATGCTTCCATATAATATTTTAGTGTTATCTTTCTAGCTCTGTGAACAATGCTATTAGTATTTTGGTAGGGTTTGCTTTGAATCTAAAAATTATTTTAGATAACATAGATATTTAGAAATAATAATTTGTCCAGTTCATGAAAACTGAGGAGTAATTTATTTGCCAGAGGCAATTGCAATGCTACATAATGCTGAGTTTGTGGCATTATTGTTGATAAGGCTTTTGCAGGTCTGTGATGAAATAGAGAATGTGGGACAAGAAGAAATACAAAATGTACAGTTTGGGGATATAGATTGGCTGAAAGAGGGAATATAATCGTTAAGGAGACTAACAACACTAAAGAGAAGCCTGCTCTGCACTTGCATAAATAGTAGTGTTCCTTCAGGGCAAGATTCCACCCAGCTAAGCTTCTGACTTGGGAAAGAGAGCCTAGAGTGGTTTCTGCTTCTAGAAAGCAACAGCAAATAAAAGTTGCTGCATGGAATTCAGGGAAGTGTGGGTCCATCCTGAGTTGGCAGCCTAACTTGGCAGCATCGTTCATGTGATGCTGGCTTTAGGGGCATGGAAGATGCAAGAGTAAAAGTGGTTGTATTTATGGCAGTATGTGTCAGGGGAATCCCTGCATGAAGGCCCTGAGAGGCCACTGCATGAAGTTGCAAAAATGAAGCCTGTCTCCAAGAGGTTAGTGATGTCTGAGTTGGGAGACATCTGCCCAGGAGAGCTACATACATGAAGTGAAAGCAGCCTAAGAAGGAGATGTATGTTGTAGGCACCAAAGCTGAAAGGACAGAGCCTTCTAAGTCCTTTAATGTGGAGCATAGAGCTATAGGATTTAGTGTTTGCCATTCTGGGTCCTGTCTTCCTTTGTCCCATTTTTCCTACCCATGTCTCCTTTCTTCCCTTTGGGGATGGTAACGCATATTCTGTGTCATTGTATGTTGGAAGTATGTAATGTGCCTTTTTATTTACAGGAAGCTGCAATTAAGAGATTGCCTTGAGTCTCAAAAGAGACTTTGCACGTTGGCCTTTTAAGCAGTGTCGGGACTTTAAAGAATGGGACATTTTAAAGCTTGACTGGATGCAGTTTGCATTATAATATGGCCATCAGTCAGTCTGTGGAGGCCGCGGAGTGGAATGTGATGGTTTGAAAGAAGTTTTCCCCTATAGGCTTATGTATTTGCACACTTGGGCCCCAGTTTGTGGTGCTATTATGGGATGGTTAGGAGGTGTGGCCTTCCTGGAGGAAGTATACACTGGAAACAGGTTTGGAGTGTTTGTAGTATCACCCTATGTCCAGTTTGCAGTCTGCGCTTCACACTTGTAACTGAGGATGTGAGCTCTCAGCTTCTGGCTCCAGCTGCCATGCTTGCCTCTTGCTACTAGTAGTGCTGCCCCGTGGTGATGCATGAAGGGGGTTTGTCCCTCTGGAACCATAAGCCAAAATAAACTCATTTTTCTATAATTTGTGTTGGTCATAATGTTTTATCACCACACCATATGTACTCTTAAAGAGCTTTATCTCAAATTTCTATCAACTAAGATTTGCATCATTTTCCCATGTCTTGTTGCATGCTAAATACACAGCGCACTCTGCACTTCAGGATTTATCAGTATGCACCCATTGGCTTTTTAGCAACTTTGTAAAAATACTTTTACTTATTCTTCAAAAATTTCATAAGTATATATTGATTGCATTTTTGAGCATATCTAACACAACCTCCCTCCAAATCCCCTAATACCTTCTTCTCCTTCTCCCCCTCCAATCCTTCTAGCAACTTTTATTCTAAGATTCCTCCTTTACTTCTCTGGACTTTCTGGGACAGCTCTGAGGAAATGTTACATGAAGAAAGGGATGAATCTACATTCCATGGCAGCAGAGATCCTGGAAGGCGGAGACCTTTGGCTGGGTAACAACACACTGCATTTCTCACAGAAGCATCTTTCTTTGATCCCTAGGAACAGTTCTTCCAGTGCTTTCGTTAGCTGCCAAGGTCACTGTTTCTATTCCCAAAAGATCCATCTCTCAGATTAACTCCTTTTTTCAAAATATCCTGCTTCACTATAGTATGGTGGTCTCTTCTTGTTAAACTTTACATAAAAACACTTGACAATACAAATAGTACTTGTTTTAGTTGAATCAGACTGTAAAATAATGGGGATAGTTAGTTTTTATTTTATACCCATTAAAGGGAAACTTCAACAGCCACAGACTCAGCAGTTTATTGTTTTTCTACATTAAAAAATAATATCTACTCATAACTGGCCATTGATCGGAAGGTAAACTTGTCTTAGGATTCAGAAGAAACTTTATCACAGCAGTTAGTGTGTGTGTGTTTGTCACAAAGCACCAAAATCAGAGAAATGGAAAAGAATAAAAAACTTGGTAAATGAATAGCCCATGTGACAGAAAAGAGGGGGGGCGTTTCACTTCTATTCCAGAGAGAACAGTTGACAATTTTTTTACAACAGCATTTTGAATAATGTTCACTTTCCACACGATTCTGTCTCACACTCTACTATGGCAGATTGTTTTTATAAGAAATCTACCTTAAACTTCTCCATAGATTTTTTTCTTTTCTCACACTTAGCCTTGAACTAATATAATTTATTTTTAGAGTCATTGGTGATAAAAAGTTTGCACGATGAATTAGGTTTCAGCAAAGCCCTTCTTTTATACTCATTAATATTAAGTTGAATTTGCAAATGCAGGTCATCTTGCATATACCTATTTTTGCATGGGTACAATGTGTATGGGGTGCACAGTGTGTGAGGAGTGTGTATAAACGTGTGCATGGGGAAGCACAAAGCTGCTATAGAGCATCTTCAGTTGCTCTCTGTCTCTCTGTCTCTCTCTCTGTCTCTGTCTCTGTCTCTCTCTCTGTGAACACAGAGCTTACTGATTCTGGCTACCAGCTTGGTCCAGTGATCCTCTCTGTCTACCTCTCAAGTTCTGGGGTTACAGGAAGCCAAAATATCTGTCCAAGTTTTACCTAGGTTGTGGGAATCCAAACTCTGGTTCATGGGCTTGCTTAGTAAATATTCAGTCCAATGAGCCATCTCCTCAACTCTTTTACATGCCTTTCTCAGTCTCCAATAAGGACATTTTTTTTCTTTAAATTTCTGAACTTCTTCAAAAGTTTAAGCAGTTAGTATTGAAATCTCACTTCGGTTTTGGTATGGGAAGATTAAATAATAAAAATACTGTTTATAGTCAGACTGCCATGTGCAGTCATGACACTGCATCTCACTTGTTATTATATATAATGCATTTGTATATACATGCCCAGTTATAGATATTCTTTCACATTTAGGGCATTGAGTTATGTGCATTGTTTTTTTCCTACATGAGGATGTTGGGTACTCTAGAACTGGAGTTACACAAAGCTGTGAGTGCTATGTGGGTGCCTGGGAATTAAACCCAGGTCCTCATGAAGGACAACTAGTCATAACCACTGAGCCATCTCTCCAGCCCATGGCTCACTATGGTTAAAGGCTCACTCTATTCCTTAGTGGAAAACTACACTAATTATGTTCTCCTAAGTCTAACTTGCTTTAGTGTAGTGTAACTGAACTTTTTCTACTTCAATAAATTTACATGGTAAGTGACCAATGATTACCCCCCAAAGATTCGGCAAGTTTAACTGGCAATTCTTGGGTTAAATTTTAGTGTTTGACTTCCATAATTATATTTGTTTTTATGCTTTTCTTAACTGATGCTTTTATGACTAGTTTTCTAAAGTGCCTTTTAAAAAGTTTTTTTTTAGTATATAAATGAATAGGTTAAATGACATGTAATTTTTAAATTTCCAAGTACTTAGATTGTGAGTAGTGCTAATGACCAAATGTTTCCTCCTTATCCCTGGTGGTCAAGGCATGCTTAAAAAATGCAAACAACCTCTATATAAAAAGGCTCATGAATCACAAACATATTTCTTTTTTTAATTAAATTATTTACTGTTTATGTGCTCACATGTGTGTAGATAGAGATCAAAGGGCAACTTTTGGGAGTCAGTTGTCACATTCTACATTGTGGAAGCAGGGTCTTTTTGTTTCTGCTGTGAATCATATGCCTGGGAGTTTCTAAATTCTCAGAACTCTGAACCCCGTATTGCCATAGAAGTGCTAGGATCACAAATACATGTCATCATATCTGGCTTTTTACATGTGTTTTGTGAATCAAACGCACGTTGTTATGCAACCCCTTTCCCTGTTGAGCCATCTCCCTGGCTTTCAAACATAAAAATCTTACACTCAGCTGGGCGTTGGTGGTGTATGCCTTTGGGTCCAATTCTCAGGAGGCAGAGGCAGGCAGATCTCTGTGAGATTGACGCCAGCCTTGTCTGCAGAGTAAGTTCCAAGATAGTCAGGGAACAAAAACAAAATTCTCACATTCAAGAAGAGAGTAGGTTCTGAATAGCAAGAGATATATTAAAGAGTCCCTTACAGTGCACTGATTGCATATAGATAAGATAGTGTCATAAGATCATGGTCATGAGTAAACTAGTTTAATGATCAATGGTGAACAATTATAAATTCAAGACTTCTTTGCAATTAAATCTAGTGTTGGCTTTCCCTGCTATGTGCAGCCCAGACTCAGCCCTTGGAGACCTCCAGCTGCTAGCCTCCACCCCCAGACTACACTGGTAGCCAGGCCTGACCCCTTGGGTGGCCAGTTCCATCCCCAGGAGCTCCACCAGCTAGGCCCCACCCCTGAGGAGTTCCAATGACCAGGCCCCACCCCCAGACAGCTCCAATAGCCAGGCCCCACCTCTGAGGAGCTTAAACAGCCAGGTCATGCCCCTAAGGAGATCCAGTGGCCAGGCCCCACCTAGACTTTTCTAAAAGCCATAATGGCCATTCTCAACCCCTCCCCCAAGGCAAGACAGTGGTCAAGCCCCACCCTACAGAAAAAAGTCTCACCAATCCCTGAGCTTGCCTCAAGATCAAGCCACAATAATCCCACCAATCCCATGCCACTCTGGAAAGTTCCAACCCCACCCCTCAACAAACCCTATATAAGGGCTGTCTTCGTTCTGTTCTCTGTTGCCTCTCACCCAAGCAGAGGCTGCCACCTCCCAGAGTTTTCCCTCCCAGTAAATCTCTTGTGTGAAGTTTGTTGTGCAGTGTGACTTTGAGGTAATCCTTGGCTCCCGACTGTCAAGATACCTTTTGCCTCAGAGCTGTAACACTTACATTGGTGATGTGACTCACATAGGCTCTCCTGGTGCCTGTGCTCTCCCTCAGGGTCTGAGCCACACTGGGACCCTATGCCTCATCTCTGGTCCACCCACAACAGACTCACCTTCCAGTTTACCAATTGCGTGATACCCCACCCACCAGTAGCAATTAGGTAAATTTCCCTTTCATTGGTGTAAATGCTTCCGTGAGTCTGAGGAAGTGATCATTGAGTACCTGGCACCTCTCTGGTTGAGGTACCCCCAGCCATGGTCTTTAAGGTTATGGCTGGCTGTCTTCTCCTGACCCTAGCCTCCTACCCTTGAAGCTGTAATTCTTCAGTTTCCTTAGGCCCGGCCAGGCTATTGTGCCCTTCCTGCCTGCCTTCTTCTCCTGTCTTCCCTTCAGAGCTGCCTGTCATAATCCCACAACTCCTCTAGACCCTCTTAACTAGACGTTTCCTTCCTATGCCTTTCCCAATAAATCTCTTGTGTGAGGTTTGTTGTGGGGTGTGACGGTGTTATTTCCTGGCTCCTGACAGGATACCTTTCCCTTCAGAGCTGTTAGACACCTAGAGTGAAATTGAAGTCATGAGCAAAAATATAATAGGATTTTCCTAGCAGAATGAGTTGTACTCCAAGGTGGTTAGCGATAAATGCACATCAGAATTATTTCTGTAACAAGAGAAATCTATTGGAAATACAAGCAAAATGAAGCTAACTCTGAGAACAGATTAACAAGCCTTTGAAATTCTAAAGGATAAATATGAAATCCTATGCTCTCCATGGGTATCTGAGTTAGTGGAACACAAGATACCATGTATAACTAGAGTGTGCAGACTGGTTTTTTAACCCTTTTTTCTTTTATTTATTTTTATTTAAATTAGAAACAAACTTCTTTTACATGTCAATCCAAGTTCCCTGTCCCTCCCCTGCTCCCCACTGACCCCCATCCCATCCCCCTTCTACTCCCCAGGAAGGGTGAGGCCTTCTATGGGGGATCTTCAAAGTCAGCCATATCATTTGGAGCAGGGCCTAGGCCCTCCCCCGTGTGTGTAGGCAGAGAGAATTGGGCTCCCAAAGTCCATTTCTGTACTAGGGATAAATACTGATCCAATACCAGAGGCCCCATAGAGTAACCAGACCTCCTAACTGACACCCACATTCATGAAGTCTGGGTCAGTCCTATGCTGGTTTCCCAGCTATCAGTCTGGGGTCCATGAGCTCCCCCCCTTGTTCAGGTCAGCTGTTTCTGTGGGTTTCTCCAGCCTGGTCTTGACCCCTTTGC